TTAGCACAACCAATAGATAGCTCTATGAAAGAGCTATCGATTGATATATGATTCATGATATTAGACTATTTCGTTTCTCTAGAATCACGAGTTTCAATACTAGGACATGCAGTCTTGATATTGGCATCTCTTGTTCGAGAGCACTAACATAGTGAATTATGAAATTCTTTCCATTAATTGATAGTCTTCAGTTAGAAGTATTAGATGCTGATGAAAAATTCAATAAAACTATTTCTCTTGATCCTCGAATTCAACCATATTCCTCGATATAGATTATTATATGCTCATTATAGTAGAATACACTATTGAAACTCGTGATTCTAGAGAAACGAAATAGTCTAATATCATGAATCATATATCAATCGATAGCTCTTTCATAGAGCTATCTATTGGTTGTGCTAAATCCAAAATATTTCCATCTTAGGGAGAGATCCCCAGGAGGTGGGGATCTGGGCACCTATAGATATTTTTTTTGTTTTATCATTGATGTATATGTCGGAAATAGCATATATGTTAAATTTGAACATCATTCAATGAAAATTTTTTTCAAAATGATATTAAAAATAAATAAAAAAAAATCAATAAAAAATAGAAATAACAATTTTATCAATAAAAAACAAACAGTAACTCCGTTTGCCTTCTACCGTTGGATTTTAATGTAATTTGAGTTAAGGAATATTTTTTAATGCACCCACAAAAGAAATTGTTTAGTTTAGACATGAAGAATCCTGGTTTAGTTAATATTTTTTATTTTCTATGTATTTTACGTAGAATGTTCTTATTAGGAACATTTTTTTGCTGGTTGTTCGAATTAGGAACAGTGTTCCTAATAAGAACAAGCGATTCAATTTTAGAATTGATATGGTTCAGCTATATTAAATGATAAAATTCTGAACCTTTGGATTTTAATGTATCAAATGATGAAGAATATTTTTGGTAAAAGAACCATATCAAAATTTTTTAGTTTTGACATAAAAAAATCTCGTTTACTAAAATTTTTTTATTTTGTATGTATTTTACATTGAGTGTTCGTATTAGGAACAAATTTTAGCTTGTCGTTCTTATTAGGAATATGGCTCCTAATACGAACAAATTCACTTCTCAAAAATATACCGCTAATTACTCAATCAATTTTTTAGATAATTAGCTCATTTTTGTATCATTGGATGCGCCAAGTGCTCCTCTACTCAGAAATGCAAAAATAATTTTTTTATGTTGGGAAATGCTTGAGAAAAATAGAAAATAACCGAGGGTGTTGACACACCTGTTCTTATTAGGAACATTGACTGTATTGTCTGAACCGTAGCGTATGGAGCGAAGTGTAGAAACATTTGGCACGTTTGTTTTGCCCAAACGACCTAGTAAACATAATGCGGACATACAATTTTCTTCCGTGTAGAAATGTGTACCTTGGCCTGGAACAATCTCAACCACTGCGACTTTGGTGTTCTTTATACCACCAGCGTACTCCATGCCTTCCTTGATATCGATTGCGTTGAATAAGTCGTTGCCAGTTGCTACCCACGAACGCATTCGAGCTTTTCCCACACCACATACTCGATCACAAATATCTTTACCTTTTTGCACCTCGCTGTAATCGCGCGTCAACAATTCAATACCCAGCTACAGAGTACGACACAGTTAAAGTTAAGTAACTCAGAAAACCAAGTGATTCAGNTTCTTATGGTATATGCTCATAGCCCCATGAATCATCGCATCAATAACAAATTATGCACCATGTGGTGGCGCCACATGTGTGGATACTTTTTCAAGAAGTTTTTGGATCATATTTTGAACTCATAAAGTGTTATAGAAATTTTAGTTAAATAAAATTCTCGGGCCCTAGTCAAATTTTAGAGTGATACATTCAGTTCTTTGTTATAACGGAGACGATATGCTTGAAGGTTCTTTGTCTTTGAATAGTACAAATCTTTGTATATTTTGAACGAGCTTGCCTACTCTGTTTTCCACAGAGCAAACATACAGAAATATTTGTGAGCATTTACGTTTATCAAGCAATAGAAGTTAACAATAAAAAAAATTAGTGTGTGCGCACGTCAGCTATGTTAGATAATGCCATTGTCATCAATACATGTCTATAGCTTTAGTGTCGCTACCATTGTTACCATATAGCCTATCGCTGACGTTCTCGTAAAAATGACTAGGGCCCGAGAATTTTATTTAACTAAAATTTCTATAACACTTTATGAGTTCAAAATATGATCCAAAAACTTCTTGAAAAAGTATCCACACATGTGGCGCCACCACATGGTGCATAATTTGTTATTGATGCGATGATTCATGGGGCTATGAGCATATACCATAAGAAGAATAAGAGTAAATTAAAAATAATTGTACATGATGAGAAATCGTTTAACGACGGAGAATTGTGTTTGGTCAGAGTTTTATCCAATTGTAAATTCATCTAATAAAGATTTTATATTCGATACATAGTAAAGGAAAGAATAGTTAATGACTATCATTAAAGATATTTTACATACAAATGAAATGAAAAAGAATAGAACGTTATCACTGGATCCGTTAACTGTAAACATATCCAATCATTCTGTTTCGTTATCAAAGAATAAACAACAAACATATGTTTACATATATATGAATACTTCAGATGTTTGTTTTAGATCATATTGAGTTTTTAAACAAAAACATCTGTTTAATTAAATAACCATTCAATTTCAACCGATTCTACGAAAGATAAAGAAATTACAAGGTGAATTCTATACTGATTTATAGATTAAATATTGCATTATTCTTTGCACTGTAAAAGTATGTCGATAATTTCCATAGAAAATTTGTCTAATGAAGTTTTTTATATAATATTCGATTATCTCGATGGTTATCATATTTATAAGGCATTTTTCAATCTTAATGATCGTTTTCAACAGCTTCTCAATTCTTCCTCTCTTCTATTTAAAATTAAATTGAATTCACCAACTGATGAAATATACACAAAAATTTTTGAACAACTTTTACTTATTAACAGACATCAAATATATTCTCTTCATTTATGGATATTGCAGAATGAACATTTTTTCTCATCGTTTCCAATCGATTCGTCATTAGATCATCTTGAATCACTTGCTCTTGCTCGCATTAAACTAACTACACTTAGTTCACTTCTTTCCAATTTAACTTATCTACCTCGTTTATTCTCATTAACAATCGATGCATGGCGTACGTTAAAAGATTTAAGTGATGTCTATCGACTGATTTTTACTTTGCTAAAATTGAAATATATAAAATGTATAGCAGAAGATTTGAAAAGATCCATTTCGTTACCATTTGCTTTAAAAAATCAAACAAGTACAATTGAACATCTTGTTATTGATCATTCTTGTACTTTCAAGGAACTTTCTACTATATTATCTTATACACCTCAACTTCGTCATCTACATTTTTCACATCTGAACGATAGTTATCCAATCATTCAAATTACTATATTACCAATGATATTATCAAATTTATCGTAGATTTCTTTCAACGTGCATTATATAAGAGTTGATGAATTTAAAATGTTCGTTACAAATATAAACTGTAAATTGAAAGTATTATATTATACTACTCGATCTCAAGATATGACTTTTCTTGAAGCTAATCGATGGGAACAATTATTTCAACGATACTTTCCTCGATTAGAAAAGTTTCATTTTCAATATTACAAACCGTTGAATTTTGAATATAAATCCCCGATATATCCTGAAGATCCTAATCCATTCATTTCGTCATTTTGGATTGAACGAAAATGGATATTGGAAGCTGAAATGCGTTCATTCGAAGTTGTATATTCAATTAGTCCATATAAGTAGTATCAAGAAGAGTTCTTTATAATGAATAAATTTGTTTTTTTTTTCTTTTTTTTTAAGAAAAAGATGGTATGATGACAATTCTTCTTCGGAAATTTTTAAATCTACTCGATTTACAGTTACATGTCTTCCTCGTCAAGAAGAACTAGAGATATTAATGATGAATATTAGCAGCATTTTAACATTGACACAAATTTATCATTTAGAAATTCCTCAACGACAAATCTTTTCTAGTTCATTAATCGATATTATAAATGTATTATCTGAACTTGATTCATTCAAAATTCATTCTTTATCATTATCACCAACAAGAAATTCATCTGTCGAAGAAATAGCTCTTCGTAATGTATCAAATAAAAATAAAATAACAAAAGTTTGTCTTCAAAAAATGATTGAAATAGAAGAAATTTATTATCTAATGAAACTTTGTCCTCGTATGAATTATCTTCAAGTCGATTATATAAATAATATTAATATTGAATTATTTGTACAAGATATTTTACAAAAAGTTCAAAATGAACACAATCAATATCTTCGTTCATTATGTTTTCTGGTTCCAACAATAGAAAATGAAATGGTTAAAAAATTAGAAGAAATGATTCATTCTCAAAAATTATTCTTTCATTATATGATTAAGCGTCATTATACAATTAATCGTGTAGTGAATAGTATCTATTTGGAATGGAAATGATTATCAAAAGCATTTCTGTTTTGTCATATATAAAACCATTAAATAAATAAAATAAAAACTGTTATCTTATCAAAATCTAGATAAATGAAATTCTATCTTTAAATTGATACACGTGAATCACGAAGGAAATATTTGGTTTAGCTTATTTCGATTGAATCTCAACCATGGTGTACAAAGTTGATCTCCGATTTCGATGAAAGTTTTAGCATTTGTAGAGTTTTTAGTTCTAAGCAATTTGATAAAAAAATTTAAAAAAAAACTTTTTTTTAACGGAAATAGACTCGAAATACTTTAATCAGTAAAAAGCCACAAATCCGCAAAAAAAACGGTCTTTTTTGCACAATTTTGACAAATGATTTACTAGCAGTTCATTGTTGGTTTAACTCAATTTACATATGTCTCCTACCATAGATGAAATGGGATCTTTTTAAAGGATACTATTTGATTGCTAAGTCAAACTATTGAATACTTAATATTTTCTTAGTAATAAAAGTTTTTGCTTAGTTTAATAATTACACTGAAAAAAATAAAGGTTTTCTACCGAACCAAAAAAGGTTCATTCGCTTGATACACGGGAAGATCCTTTTTATGGTTCCGTATAAAAAAGGTTCAGCACAGAACCTTCACGCAG